CCTCCTCCTCCTCCTCCTCCTCCCCCCCCTCCCTTAGACAAATCTAACGGAAGAGTGCGTTTCCTCCTCTTCTTCTTCCTCCTCCTCCTCCTCCTCCTCCTCCTCCTCCTCCTCCTCCCCTCGTGCGGGGCGCACAACGCTGCGTGCAACCCAGTCGCAAAGAGTACCCCTGAACCCTTGTATTATATATATACATACATACATGCACGTGAAACTGTCATGCTTATTGTATTAATATAGCACGTACATTGCATGCGAGATAACTGTGTGCATGCGAGATAACTGTGTTATGTGATATGACGTTGTGATGTTTATAATGGTGACGGTAGTGGTTATGATGATGATATTGATGATGGTGACGATGATGATGATGATGATGATGATGATGATGATGATGATTCCTCCATTCCTCTGTTTTTCTTTGTTTACTTATGTCGTTCCTCCATTCCTCTTGTTTTTCTTCGCCTGTTTTCTTGTCACCTTCAAGACAAACTATTCCTCAACGGCGCTGCGGAATGGAAGCTCTGGGCCCCCTACCCCTCCCCCGGGCAACGCCAGGCGTCCCCACAGGCGCTCCCTTCGGGCGTCCCCGGAGGCGTTCCCCGGGCGCTCCCGGGCTCCCGGGGAGGGCGCCCAGGACTCTCAGGCGCTCCCGGGGCGCTCCCCGGGCGCTCCCCGGGCGCCCCCCGGGCGCTGGCGCCCCCAAGCGCTCCCCAAGCGCTCCCCAACGCTCCCAGGCGTGTCTCGGGCGTTTCTCGGGCGTTCCCGAGCGTTCCCAGGCGTTCGCACGCGCTCCCAAGCCTGCCCCAGGCGCTCCGAGGCGCTCCCAGGCGCTCGCAGAGATTCCCACGCGCTCGCGGGCGCTTCCCAGGCGCCCCCCAGGCGTTCCTAGGCGCTTCCATGCGTTCGCCGGCGCTCCCAGGCGCTCCCCAGCTTCTGGGCAAGATTTGTATATTGGCGGCGGACAGTGGCAAGCGACGTGGCAAAAGGGTTCCAGGTCGCCCCCCAAGCGCTCCCAAGCACGACGTTCCCAGGCGCTCGCGGGCGCTTCCCAGATAGTCCCTAGGCGCTCCAAGGCGCTCCCAAGCGCTCGCAAACGCTTCCAGGCGCTCCCCAGCTCTTGGGGAAGGTTTACGCCTTGGCGGCGGACGAGGGCGAGCGACGTGGGCAAAAGGGTTCCAGGTTCAGGGTCTTCTCCTTGGCGGAGCGCAGCACTGGCGTCGGCCTGAGTTCTACCTGTGGGCTCGACTAGCGCTCGCCCCTCTCCACCGATAGCGCTCGAGGTCGAAAGCGCGATCCAACGGGGTCGCGCGTCAGTTCCGAAGCGACGCTCAGTCCCTATCGACGTGCCAAGCTGCGCTACGCATCTCCGGTGCGACGGCAACCTGCTGTGGAGAACAACCCACTGGTCGCCCAGGCCGTGTTCCGAACCACCACTGCATCGGCCATCGAAGCGCTGCGTGAACCCTGCGTACGTCGCTTCGCGCTGGGTCATCGTCGTCGCCGCGTTGAGTTCTGTATGTCATGGGTCTTGGGTGGGTGGGACACGTCCAACAGGCTAGGAATGGGGCCAATGGGCCCTAAACCTTAAACAGTAGGTTACCAAGAACCTTATTGTACATCTGCCCACCCACCGCATATCCGTGATGACGTGTCCACGACGGAAGGAACTTCTCTGAGAAGCTTCAGCAAGGCTCTCTGAACGTCGGTCGCCTTGGCAGCCGTGCGCTGCCTTCCCCCACTTTGGGGAATCGCAGCTCAGCGATAAACTCCCCTTGGTCCTCGAAGAGGGGAACACCCTCAACCCGAGAACGTTTCGCTCCCAAGAGTCTTTGGATGGTCTCCGCTGCATGAAAGCACGTGTGAGGCAAACTGGACGCTCGTGGGCGGGGGGCTCTGGGCGAATTGTGGGACGCTGTGGCGACCCTCTCGGGGATGCCCTGGACGGTCCTGGGAAGCTTCTGGAAGCGCTTGGGAAGCGCCGGGGCGTGCATGGCAGGTCCTGCACTTTTCGCGCACTGCGGCGCAATGCGAGGCTTGGGAATTTGAGGGCTCTCCTAAACCCGAAAAGGCCGCAGGTTGCGAGGTCGCCGGCACTGCGGCTGGGGGTGGGAAAGTGGTGCGCCTCTTGCACTTTCGGCAGGTCTGATCGGGTCGGCTAGGCGACCCCCCCCCCACAATCAAACCTGAAACCCTAGCCGACGTCTCTGACAGCATCGGGAACGCCCCAGATCGGCAGCACTGGCTGGAGGCCAGTACAATCATCAGAACGAGGGGGCCGAGCGGTCATTCACTGTGCGCGGCCGAAGTGGGATTCCGCGGTGGGGATTGCTTTTGTTGTTGAACTCGTATTTCTTACAAATAACTACTGTCGATCCCACCCCTCCGCTAACCATTGTATTGTTCAAAGAGAAATTCTTCTCCCAGGGCTCGCACTTTGATGTTTTTGTTTGAAGTGAGGGGTCACCAAACTGCGGTGTCGACCTCCGGTTTACAACAACAACAACAACAACAACAACAACAACAACAACAACAACAACAACAATTACTAGCACGTGGGGACACTCCGTTCTACCAGTGCCAGGGTTTTCATAGGAGGCGGGCAATACCCCCACTTTGTGGGGGGGCCGGTTCAAGCTCTACCAAATTTCCAAACGACTCTTCGCCACCACCCACACCCAGCTTCCCGCCCTATGACGTTCGGACACTTCACTTCGTGGCATGCGGACGACCGTGGCTACTATTCAGGGCCCCGCGGCCGACGACGACGGCGTGCGCGCGCGAAGAAAAAACGAATGTGTCCCGCATGGTATTATTTGACAGGGATGATGGCCCTGGCAGGTGCGCAACCGTTGTTGCAGAAGTTCGAAAAAGTTGCTCGCAAAAGCCCGTTTGACAGAAATGTTTAAAAAGTGTTGGGTTTCCTACGAATCCGCAAGAGCGCGCGGGATGAGATTTTGACATTTTTTTGTTGAAAAACCATTGGTTTTTTGATGTTTTTATGTTAAAATCGCTCCGAACACTAAGCTTTTGGAAGGATTTCGTCTTGCGCGCGCGAATGTCCACTTTACCTTATTTTTTGCAAGGGATTCTTGAAATTTGATTATATTAGAACAAGAAATGTCATTTTATAGTGTTTTTTGCAAGGGAAAGCGGATTACAACAAAACAACCGGATCTTGATCACATCGTTTTACCTGAGGCTTCCTCACGAAAATGATGAAAATGTAGCTGCGGCCTAGGCGGCGCAGGGGGGGCGCGCACCAGGGGCCCAACAATAATTATTCTTTAGAATAAATAATGTTCAACAACAACAATTACAACCAACAACAACAACAACAACAACAACAACAACAACAGCAACAATCATTTTAAGACTGTTCGCCCTTATATGCTCGAGTGTCCAATAACGCGCATTCCCCAATCCCTCGACACCCGCCCTCTTCGTCTTCGATCGAACCCCTTTTGGGGGGTATACCTTTCTTCCCTGCAGGCCGGGCCCCGGCAAGCGGCGGGGCGGCCGCGGACCGTCGGCCTGGCCAGCGGCAGCGCTGATCGGCGGGGCGGCCGCGGACCGTCGACCCGACCCCAAGAGGGACGGACAGGGGACCGACCACGACGACGACGACGACGACGACGACGACGTCGAAGACGACGGCGACGACGACGACGACGGCGACGACGAGCGAAAGCGAGAGCGAGAGAGAACGACAGCAGGGCCACGAAGGGCACGAAGTAGGCCACGAAGGGCGACAGCGGGGACACGAAGGGAATGCGTATGGGGCCACGAAGAGCGCGAACGAGCGGGGGCCACGAAGTGCAGATAATGCGGGGCCACAGAAGGCAACTATGGGGCCACTGAGGGTAGCAACTGGGCCACGTAGGACAATGAGGGGGACACAAATGGCGACAGCGGGGCCACGAAGGGCATGCACATGGGGCCACAACGGGCGCGACTCCTGGGTGCCTGGGTGTCGGGAGCGCGGCGCTTGGGCAAATTACAAGAAATTCCAACGCAAGGTTATTCTTCAGTAAGTTGCAAGCACGTCTCCAGCGAGAGCGCGACTCCAGAGCTCCGGGAGAGCGATCCCTTAGTAAATTGGAAGGAAGTCCCAAGCGAGAGCGCGATTCCTGAATAAAATGCGAGGAAGTCTCGGGCGGGAGCGGGGGTCCTGCCTCAATTCTAAGGAAATCTCAAGCGGGAGCCGTTGTTGTTGTAACCCGGGGGCCAGGGGGCTAGTTTGAGCAGGAAGACTTTCCCTGTAAAAAAACAGGGTGCGAGCGTCGAGGGGCACACTCTGATTGAGAAAAAACAGTATCCACCGGTAGGGGGGGGATCAACAACAAGTATTCTTCAGAAATGAGAATTCATCAACAAGAACAACAACAACAACAACAACAACAACAACAACAACAACAACAACAACAACAACAACATCAACATCAACATCAACATCAACATCAACAACAACAACAACAACAATCATGTAAAGACTGTTCGCTCTTACTGGCACGCGTGTCTTGCATTCTGTGTACCCAACCCTCGATACCCGCCCACTTCGTTTTCGATCGCACCTTCTTTCGGGGGGGAATCTCTTCCTTGCCGGCCACTGACTGAAGTGCGAGAAAATCTCGAGCGAGAGCGCCGTTCCGGAGTTCGGGGGCCTCTCTGGCCAGGGGCTCTCGGAATACCGATGGAGGAATATCGAATAAGAACCCTTGTTGCCGTGTCTGGCGTGTTTGGGCCTCCACCAACTTGCCTGAATTACGAGAAACTCTTGAGCGAGAGCGACGTTCCTGAGTTCGGGGGCCTTCCTGGCCAGGGGCTCTCTGAGTAAATCGCGAGGATTTATCAAGCAGGATTCACTCCCCCTGCTCCTCCTTCTCCTCCTCCTCCACCTTCCCATCCTCCTCCTCCTCCTTCTGCTCCTCCTCCTCCTCCTCCTCCTCCTCCTCCTCTTCCTTCTGCTCCTCTTCCACCTCATCCCCCCTCCCGGATCGGGAAGACCAGCGCTCCTTCGGAGAGCACCGTCCCGAAGATGAGGAGGATCGTGAAGATCAGCAGGCCAGACCACAGCAGACCCTTGGCCGCGCCAGCGAGCGAGTGGATCATGACGCGCAGCTCCCTGGGGAGGACGGCTGCAACCGAAACTGCAGCCAGGGCCCGTCGCAATAAGGCGAGGGCGCCGCTGGTAGGGAGCCCACGAAGAACGTACGCGCCCACCCACGTACACGAACACGGCACCCCCATCGGCGAGACCGGCCGCACGATACGAGCGTTCGCGCACTGCGTGCTCTCGAAACCAGCGCGGGGTACCGTGCGTGTAAGTCCTTGCATGTCGCTCCCAACCTGGGGAGGCCAAGCTGCAGCAGCCGGCCGGCGAAATCGGCTCAGATTGGAGGAAGGAAAAGTGGCACTAAGATACTTTATTGGCGCTCCGCGCGGATTTCTTAGATCCGCGCTGCACCCCCCCCCCTGGCGCGCGGAGCGCGCCAGGGTCGGCGCCGGAGGCGCCGCCAGAGGGGGCCCAGCACGAATCCAAAAGTGCCCGCGTGAAACGCCAAAAAAGTGTCCGCCTCTGCCGTGCCAGTCGTCTTCGAGAGCTCGACATCGCTCGACGTTCGCGCCCCGCGGTTTACCAGCCTCGAACGCATCCCTATCCCTAAGATTGACACGCCAAGAGGCGACGACAATCTTAGGGGTTCGCCCTCAGAAAATAAGGGAATCCCTAAGATTGGCATCGTGATGAGGAGGTGCCCAGCATAGGGATAGGGATATGTTCCAGGCTGGTACGTAAGCGGTGCGCGGTGCGCGGTGCGCGGCTGCCTTCGCGCCCCCGCGCCCCCGCGCGGGACGCCCTGGGGAGGGAAGGGCAGCCGCTGCGGCCGCCGGGCCCGCGGCGGCCGAGGCGCCACCGCCTCGAGCGCCCCCGCGGGCGACCCCGTGGAGGACATGGGCCGAGAGGCCAAGGTGGAGCGGGGAGGTAAAGGGGCCGCGGGGGCTCGCCAGGAGGGAGGGAGGAGGAGGAGGAGGAGGAGGAGGGAGGAGGAGGAGGAGGAGGAGGAGGAGGAGGAGGAGGAGGGTGCAGGGGCTCGTTTTGGTCACGTGCGGCCCTACAGTCGGCCCGTACAGTGAGGATCCGCGGTGAGGGTGCAAGGGCCCTGGAGGGCCATACTGTAGCGCTTGTCGAACGAGGTGGGCCAACAGGAGCGGCCAAGGAGGGACCGAGGAGGCAAGGACGCAAGGGCACTCTTGGGAAAGCTGCCCATCCTTACCATGCGGGTTGACTGTCACGGGCGTCATTGGTGGGGGGCGGGGGCGGGAGCGGGCAAAACGTAGGGCCCCCCCGCAGACTGTGGTGCCAGACGCACTGGGGCAGCGCCGAGGACGCACTAAGGGGAGGATAGTTACGTTATGGGTGGGGGTAGGGGGGTAGGGGGCATGACGCACATTATGACCCAGAGGGTATGTGTATAAAATGTACCTCTATGTGTGTATGTGTATATAGATATATAAATATATATGAACTCTCCGAGGCCACGCTAACGGCGATGTTGTTTCACGGCGGGGTTGGGAATCTAGTGTTTGCGACGCAGAGCTCGGGCAGAACAGACTGACTGCCGCAAAGCACGAACAGCGCTTCCCTGAAACTGGGCTGGCCGCGAACCACCCCCACCTACGAGTCCGAAACCTACATCGCCGTTGCCTGCATCGCCGTAAGCGAAGCGCTCCTGTACGGAGGATGCAAGGCACCCGCGACAGATCGCCGCTCACATCATCCACACCCCAGACATCCAATGCCTTGAACTTTCCAGTGCTGGGTCCCCGGAAGCCCCGACCCTTTCCCCAGGGCTGGCTTCTCTCCCCGAGCCGTGATCCTGGTATCCTGGGGAGGAGGGGGGAGGAGGAGGAGGAGGAGGAGGAGGAGGAGGAGGAGGAGGAGGGGAGGAGGAGGAGGAGGAGGAGGAGAGGAGGAGGAGGGGTGGGAGGAGGAGGAGGAGGAGGAGGGAACAGGAGAATGAGGGGGGGGAGGAGAAGGAGGAGGAGGAGGAGGAGAAGGAGGAGGAGGAGGAGGAGGAGGACGGGGGGGAGGAGGGCGAGGAGGAGGAGGAGGAGGAGGAGAGGAGGAGGAGGAGGAAGGGGAGGAGGGGGAGGAAGAGGAGGAGGAGGAGGAGGAGGAGGAGGAGGAGGAGACGGAGGAGGAGGAGGAGGTGGAGTGGGAGGAGGAGGGGGAGGGGGAGGGGAAGGAGGAGGAGGAGAAGGAGGAGGAGGAGGAGAAGGAGGAGGAGGAGTAGACGTAGCCTCGGAGGAGGAGGGGGGCCCGGCCGAGGAGGGCCCCCTCGAGGCGGCCGAGAGCACGGCCGGAGCCTCCAGCCAAATGCCTGCTCTTCTCTCGCGTCTTCGAGCACGCTTCTGGGCACTACTGGGGCGCGCCCGACGGTGCGGGCCAGCAGCGGCCAATCGACGAAGCCATAGGCGGGCGCTCCGGCAGCACTTCTGGAGCATCCGCTGCGAAGGGGCCCGGCACGCGCGCCACGTGCTTAAAGGCCTCCTAGATGGGATCCGAGTAGATGGGGTCGGGGGACTGCGCCGCATCGCCGATGTATCGGCGATGCATCGGCGATGCATCGGCGATGCATCGGCGATGCATCGGCGATGCATCGGCGACGTCGGCGTGGAGAAAATCGGGCTCCACATTGAGCCGCATCGCCGAAGCATCGGCGATGCGGCGCGACCCTCTGACCCCATCTGCTCCGACCCCATCTAGGCGGCCTGGAGTGCTGGGAAAGGCCAGGAACCGGGCCGGCTTCCAGGCAGCCGCCCGAGCAGAGCCGGGCTGGGCCCACGAGGCTAGACATGTTCGCGCCGCAAAAGAAGTACCTCCAGCAACGCAGCGAGACCCACACTCCAGACGTCGTGGTGGATGCTGCAAGGCCCGGTCGACCAGGTGACGAAAAAAAAGCTGAGAGCCGCGCGTGGACAGCAGCAGCAAGAGCAGGGAGAGGGAGCAGGAGATCAGCAAGAAGGAGGACGAAACAAGACAAGCCCAGAGGGGAGCAGGAGGAAAGACACGACGAAGGGGTTTGGGGTCGTTGTCGGTCGGCCACCAGGGGCCCTCGCCAGGCCCCAGAGCCGTCGAAAAGCAGCTCGGGATGAAAAACCGGCGCTGAGGCAAGGGTCGGGGCTTCCGAGGGCTCCGTATTGAAAACGTCCGAACTTTGGATGTCTGAGGAGGGGAGGTTTCCCAGAGCTGAGCGAAGCTGCAGAGCGAACGAGGGGGCCTGAAAAAGGAGTGCTGGCGGATGACATTCGTCACCAGCGCCAGCGACAGCAGCCTGGCCAGGCGCAGCGTGGAGAACATGGCGAGGACGACCCTGAACTGGGAGTCGCACCTTTGGTGGCGATGCGAGTGGTGGCCGATGGTCTGGAGCAGCTGCGCGATCACAACTACGGCATGGAAAAACTCCCAACCACGTCCATCGGAGTCAAGCGGGTCGACAATGCCTGCAGCGACGTTCAAGATGAGGTCGGTGAGAAACAGCGCGCAGGATAGGTCCAGAAGCAAGGTGAACACCATAGAATCTTGTATCCCCCCTGTGGAGGTTGCGCTCTGCGCCGCGTATTTAAGGGAACACGCAGTGACGTAAACATACAAATTCGGAGGTCCGCGCAGACCTCTCGGATCGGCGCTGAAGCCCCCCAGCGGCACATCTGGCGCCGCCCCTGGCGCGCGGAGCGCGCCAGGGAAGGGCGTCAGCGCCGATCCGAGACATCCGCGCGGACCTCCGAGTTGTTGTGTGTATGGCATGGCCTGCTCCCCTCGTATTGCATCTCCGACACCACGAGAACGGCATCCAGGACCATCACCATCACCCGCGCGAACTCGTAGCCGGGGCGCCGCACCATCTTCGAGATGAAGGCCGTGGCATCCGCTGCATGGGTGGACACGCCGCCGGGCAGCCGCTGGACGACCTGGCTGGCCCGGGCCCGGAGGCCGAGGCCGAAGGACAGGGTCCTCTGCGGCCTGAGGGTGTGGGTCCAGCCCGTGGACTCCTGCCTGAGGAAGGTCGTCCGGGCCTTCTTCACCTTTTTCATCTTGGCCAGCACGTCGCTGGATCTGGCACTTCCCAGGGACGCCCTGTCCAAACAGTCGCTGCCGAATCGAACCAGGTCCGGTTGCGCGGTGGCACCTCGGAAGAAAACCAAAAACAATACACTGCTTTCCAGTTTGCTTCCCAACGCCTGTCAACTTGAAACTGATTCATCATTGTTGCCAACCGAATGCACACGTAAACCGTAAAACAGGAAAGGGAATCAACCACTGCGCCTGCGGTCCCTAGTCTTAACCCTCCCCTCACCCGCATTTGCTTTGTTGCTGCCTCTGCAGAAGATTATGCAAAGCACGCGCACGATCATCTCAGCCATGCACCTGATCATTTGCATTGCATCGCCGCAAGTGTCTTGCGTGCGCAAGGTAACATGTTGTTTGACAAAACATTCCTTCTCTGACCCTACATGCCTAAGGCCTGTGATGTTGCCTCGGGGATTTGGTGTGTGCGAGCTGTGGTCAGACCCACCTTCTCCTCCTTTGTCCTCCTCCTCTGGAAGTCCTGGAGGCCTCCTCAGGACCCTTAAAAAGAGAAAGAAACAAGCCCGAACCAAAAAATCCGCGAGGACCTCCGAAATCATCACCACAGAGTGAGGGGGCCGAACGGTCATTCAGTGTCCCTGGGCGCATGGCTGAAGAGGGACTCCGCGGCGCGGATTCTGCTTCTTGTTACGTTGCGTTGTTATTGTCGTCGTCGTCCCCCTGGCGACCCGGCCCGCGACTCACCCGCGACTCACCCGCGATCGACCCGCGACCCAACCTCGACCCACCCGCGACCCACCTCGCGACCCACCCACGACCCACCCGCGACCCACCCCGCGACCCACCCCGCGACCCGCCCGCGAACCACCCGCGACCCGGCCCGCGACCCACCCGCGATCCACCCACGACCCACCCAGATTGCTTTCACGAAAAAACGAGCGTCTGCGGCGGGCTCGTTGTACAACTTGTGAAACTCGCCTGCGGCGTGCTTCCTCCGAACCTCGCACTGCCGACGTTCCTGTCGACCCCTCACTCTTACTCGCAGTTGATCTTCTCCGACTCGTATTACGTCGCGTTTTTGTCGCAGGGTGGCCCCTCAAAGGTCAGGACCTCTTCTGGGAGACGCACTGGTCGTCTTGAGTATTTTTGTTACCGGTCCCCAAAGAGGCCGAACATAATTCAAAAAACCCGCCGTCATGAGCTGTCTCAGCGACAGGGTGGCAGGGCCTCCCTTGATGTTTAAGGCGCTGGGGCGGTTTTGCCCCGTTTTCAACTTGTCTGGCTTCGGCCAACCAAAATGGGAACAACATCTATATACATACATATATATATACATACATGTACATGTACATATACATACACATACAAATATACACATAAATACACACGTAGATCCACACATATAACGAAAAAAGATGCAGTCCAAAACAATAAGAACTGCAAATAAACGGAACCGAACCGAAAACGGCGCGAACAAGAATCCCACACGGAAAAGAACCAAGAAAGGTAAGTCCCACCAGCCCTCTGGGCGTGCGTGGTTTGGAGCGTTTCCTCTTCCACCCCTCCCTCTTCCCCTTCGGGAAAGGGTTACCCCTCCCCCTTACCCCCTCCCCTGGACCTGGAGGGGTGCGGTCGCGAGGCGTTGGAGCGTCCAAGATGGCCCAAGATGGCTCCAAGAGGGCCTCAGAGAGCCCAAGATGACCTCCAAGATGGCTCAAGAGTACGCAAACTGCCTCAAGATGGCACCCAACATGCTCCGAAAGGCCCCAAGACCGCCCCAAAGACGGCTCCAAGTAGCCACGGAACCTCCCAAGGGGGCCGCCAAGTTGCCCAAAACCTTCAAACAACCTGAGGAAAATCAATGAAGTTGGCCGTCTCACCTTTTTCGCTTCAGATGGCCTTCCGAGGCCTCATGAGGGCCCTAAGAGAAGCCCAAGAGAGCCCCAAGACGGCCCCAAGAGCGCCCAAGAGCGCTCCAAGAGCGCTCCAAGAGGGGTCCAGGAAGCGATGTTAGGGGCTCCCGAGGGGGGGAGGCTAATTAAGGACCCTCCCTTCTTTGATCGATCTCCTCCAAGATGGCCCCAAGAGCGCCCCGAAAGCTCCCAACGGCGCCCCAAGAGGGCCCCAAGAGGCGCCCAGACGGGCGCGCAAGAGATACCCCAAGAGGCTCCGAGAGGCATCCAAGAGACCTCTAGCCCTTTTGCTTGCCCTCCTCCTCCTGCTCCTCCTTCCTCCTCCTCCTTCTCTTCCTCCTCCTCCTCCTCGCCATCATCATCAACAGCATCATCAAATTCATCTTCCTTCTCCCGACTCCATCATCCATCCATCCAGCCACCTCCTTCTCCTCCCCCTCCTTCGCACGGTTCGGTCGTCCACCTCTGTGCTCCAGCACTTCCTTAATCACCTCAACTCGCCTGGACATCGTTTCTGGATTGGCTGGTGGGGATGCGCGGAGCGTCTGGAATACACAAACAAAACAATAATAACAGCAACAACAACAGCAACAACTACAATCGTGCTAAGACTGTTCGCTCTTACTTGCCCGTATGTCATTCAAAACGAGTTCCCCACACCATCGATGCCCGCCCTTTTTGTCTTCGATCACACCCCCTTTGGGGGGAATAGTTCTCTTTGCGGGGGGCGGCGGGCTTAGACAGGCGGGCAAACCTGAACGGGCGGACAACCCTTTGTGGGCATACATGTGCCCGCCATTGGAATTGGTGTGGGCCCTGCAAAAAAAGAGAAGGGGGAGAACGAGGGAGAGTGGGAGGAAGGGAGGGGGAGGGACGAAGGAAGAGGGAAAACGCCACGAGAGAAGGAGCGAAGAGGGGGGCGGTTGATGAGAGGCAGAGAGAGAGAGAGAGAACAAAAACAAATAGCCTGGCGAAGGACCCAACCATATGCAGTTGAGAGAACCGCAATTGTGAATATCTTCTTCGGTGGCGCTCCCTATGGGGCCACGAGCCGTATGAGGGGTGTGCCGACATGCGTGGCAGTGTACACAACACGAACGAAGACGATAGGTCCGAATATGAAAGCTTGAGCGCGTGCGAGTCGGATCGCGAGCGAGTCTGATTATGAATGAATCTGCGCGCGATTGATTCTATTCGCATGAATGCGTGCATGGATACGCCCAGTGTAAATGTATGTATACGACTGTGAACAGTTTGGGTCTGCGTGACTCTCGGTACTCGTGACTCTGAGCGTCGCCTCTGCAGGGGGCGCCCCTGGGAACCCCGACGGCAGCGCCCGCGCGCCGCGACGCCCATGTCGGCACGCCGCACACGAGGATCGCGCTCGCTTCCTCCCCTCATTTTTTCCATCTCCTTTGCCCGCGCACTCCAAAGACCAAGGCTGCGGGCGCAGCGCAAGGCGGAGCCCCCGCGACGCGCGCAGGTCGCCCCGAAGGGGTCGCAGTGACGCGCGCGGTTCGTCCGCTGAGCGGATCAGAGAGTGATTGCTGGCTGACTCGTAGCGCGCGTGGCTCTGGCCGCCAGGCAGAGCGACGAGGGGCGGGCGAGGCGCTGGGCAGGGCGCAATGCGGAGTTTGCGCGACGCGCGCTGATCGCCCCGAGAGGGTCAAAGCGACGCGCGCGAGTCGTCCGCGGCGCGAGGCCAAGCAGTCGGACAGCCAAGAGAAGGCGCGGCTGGGGCGGGCCGCTCCTCAGGTCAGGCCTCGCGGATAAACTCTGTGAAGCCGAGCTCCCTGGCGAGGGCCGTCGCCTCCCTCCTGCACCGCTTCGTGCGCGCCGCAAACTGCTCCAGCTGCTTACGCAAGCCCTCCGGCGGCCCGGCCAGGAAGAACTCGATGCGCGGCGCCCGCATGAGCAGGAGGTCCTCGTGGCGCGTGGCGCGCGAGAGCAGCGCGTAGAGCTCCAGCCACCAGTCGTCGTCCTCCTTCTTGCCGTTCCCGACCTCGTGGCGGCCGCAGTCCAGGATCACGCCTGGGCGACGTCGGCCGAGGGAGCAGTGCGCCGGGCAGCCGACGGCCCAGGGCGAGAGTCCACAAGACCGAAGGATGGCTGCGGACTGCTCGCGCCTCGGAGGTCTGGCCGTCCCCGGAGCGCCGTTCCCCCGCCCCGTCGCCTTCTCGCATGGTGCGCCCCTGGCACGCCACCGTGGCGATGACCCTGCCGTGCGAGAACGGGAAGCCCGTCCGGGTGACCTTGGAGGTGCGGAAGGTGAACGGCTCCGACGTGCGGGGCTCGATGAACACCAGCGGGCCCGTGAGGTCCCCCGTGAGGCTCTCGTCGTGGCGCTCGAGGTCATCCACGAAGGGCGCGCTCGCGTACTTCTCCATGCGCACCCAGAACCCCAGCGGCAAGTGCTTTAGATAGATCCTCTTCTCCCCGTCTCTCTCGGCCTTGTCGACGTCGCCCCGATCTCGAGGGCCCACGACGATGTGCACGATCTGCCCCTCGGCATCCTTGACGAGGCCGTTCTTGAGGTCCAGCGCCTCCAGGAGCCGGATCCGCATGCCCACGTGCACCGGGAGCAGTCCGTGCATGCCACCGGTGTTCTTCGGGTTGGCACAGTTCATCATCTTGGCGGCGTCCTTCCTGCTCATCGTCGGGGCAGACCTGTCGGCGGCCTGCGCGAGGAAGAGAGGCTTCTTCAGGACGCCCGCGTCCCGCCGGGCACGCATGTTCATCCAGCGCGCCACGGTGTCCCAATAGGACCCGATCATGTGGCCGTTCTGGAACCTGTCCTCCCGGAGTCTACGATCATCGGGTTTCAGCTGCATGGCGTTCCACGTGGCCCGGATGGCCGGCGGGACCTGCTTCCCCGGCTTGCGCAGGAACGCCATGAGGTCCCTGAGTTTCGGGTCCTTGAAGCGGTTGGACGCCTGGAGCTCGAAGCACAGCGGCGTGTTGCAGAAGAGCTTCATCACTGCCTGGTACTCTGGTGCGAGGTTGATGCCCGCCGCCGCCAGTTCCTCGAAGCTGGAGATGAGCGACACCTTGCCTCCCGTCGGCTTCAGCTGCAGGAAGTCCCCCAGGTGGATCACGATGGGCATCCGGCCGAAGGCGCCGCCGACCTGGTCGTACTCCCGCTCCTCCGCGCCCCACTCGGCCTTGCGTCCCAGGTAGGACCGGGACC